ATAAAATTTCCATGACATTCCATGAATTTTTCCAGGGTGGACATTTTCCTGACAATTTTCTGATGTTTCTGGCATTCCAGGTTTGTGGAAACACCCTGGATAACTAAAAATAAAATGAAAGATAGAAATTTCTTATGTTTTGGAAAAAAAAAGTTAGAAAATCTATAATTTTATAATTTATGAATATTTGTATGGTACATAACCTATTTACTAATTGAGTGTAACCTCCGTGTAAAACCCCTCATACGGCCTTATCAGCAGTAAAAAATTTGTGAGCGTTATACTAGTTTAGCTCAATGTCCGGACATGATTCTATCTCGCGCTGCAAAATTTTTTCTGGCCCGTACTGGCATTTATCTCAGGCAAGGTACATAATCTTTGTTCATCTCGGAATAATAAAACCTCGGCGTTCACTGTCTCGACATGATACTATCTCGTGCTGCAAATATTTTCGACCGTACTCGCTCTTGTCTCAGCAAAGATACATAAATAACTAAACCAACACAATATATTACGCAAAGCCAACTGAACCGTGGATTAATTTGATATCTTACAAATACATTTATGCATTTACGAAATCAAAAAAGCTGTAAAAACAATAAATCCATCAATTTTGTACTGACCCAATCAACTTAATTTCTAATGATATTGTGTGAAAAATTAAAAACAGATGGTGCTAATGAAAATAATAATAAAACCAATTGATCATGTAGAATACGAGCAGATTTTCCATTAGTAATATGGTTCAAGTATCAACTCTGTCAAAACATTATACAATACAGATTTTTAAAAACAATTCACTATGTTATTGTCTCTTAGGATTTTGCGATTGTTTTCTATAAATTAAAATCTTTAAAGTATTATCTTCTACAGTATGTGAAACCTAATTTTTTTTAGTACTCTACGGACAATAATGTGTTTATAAATAAAATAAAATAATGCTGAGTCCCTGGTTATGTGGAACCTTTTAATTGAACTGTGCATTTTAAAGATACAACGCAATTAAATTTTTTTTTAATCATAACCTAATTATTAATAAAGATAAGAAAAAATCGTCAGTATTGCTTATTAATGTCTTCAATTGGATTAAGATGTTTTGAAAAAACTGTCACGTAAATAATTAAATAATAAAACGATTCGACAGATAATATTCAAATTAGCTTTATTTGTTGAAAATTTGGCTATTAATTTTATATCTCCTTGAGGGACTGCATATAATAATTTGCGTTACATCTAATATACATACCTTCAATTTTAACAACTTATATACTTTATATTTTCAAAATAAAAATGGAAGATTTAAAAGAAAAAAAACAACCGTAAATGCATGATGCGATTACAAATAACCTATAAAACTATAAAACCGTAAAAGAATACTAGTTATAAGTTAAGTGAAAAAACCTTATGGACGTTTTCTTGGAATAGTCAAAATAGAAAGCTTATTTTCGTCCGAATAGTCGGTTAATAGAAGTGTTTATGTTAAAAATCTCTTAAATATGACATGTAATGATTGGACTATCAAGGTTATTACAATCAACCTGTACAAAATTTGAATAATGTTTCACATACTCCATAATCATATTTTCCATGACAGAATAAATTTTCATAATTTTTTTTAATACTCTTTATAACAAATTTTAATAGTAAATGTAATGAAAAAGGAAAATTCAAATTCTTAGCAAGTACCATTTCTACGGTTCGGCATTTCGGGGGCGGAGAATACCCGGGGAAATGAAAAATGGCAATGGGAGAGCAATGGCGTTATTGGCCACTCCCCAATCGTAAGATCATAGAGCTAAATAAAATTATCTCTTTTTCCATGATTTTTTCATGAAATTATGCATGGTTAATAAATTTATATTAATAATTCTATGATTTCCATGGGTTTATGGCAACCCTGAATATGATAAAGTGTACGGATATACTGAAAAAATTGATAAAATCATAGTGTGTCCTAAAATTTCGTGCAGCCTGTACCGCTATACAGGTATACTACTCTTCCAGTAAGAAAAATCTTAACAGTTACAACTTTTCAATGGAGATCGATATTTGTATATTTGATTATATCAATTGGTTTTTTATTATATCTAAAATAACATTAGTTAAAAAAAATAAAGAAAATTAAGTTTACAATCGACAAAATATAGCGCCAAAATTAAATAAGCCTATCTAAAACGTGTTAAAAAAAGTATAAAATTTGAAGATAATTATCTTGTTTTCAAATACCGTTACCTACTAAATTTTTTCCGTTATATAGCTAACGGAAAAAGGAACTTATTTTCAACGTTCGAAGGAAATCTAAAGAAAAGTGATTTTGAAAAGAACTTTCTTAATAGCTGTAAGTTGTAGAAACAGTTGTATATCTGTATATGTAACTAATACAGCTATATTGTCGCAAAGCGTCACTTATAGAAATGACGTACATATGAAATAATAATGGCCAAAATAATAAAAAGTTCACACAACGTTGAGACCTTGAATAGCAATTACTGAACATTAAAGAAATAAGTATATATTGTAATAGTCACAATGAAAATGTATACGACTGCTGAAGAGGTTATCGGATTGATAACGAAGAATTAAGCAAATAAAACTTCTTTCCAACGTTGCCTGTTAGATCTTAGTACTATTTGATAATTAAGCAGGCAACGGTCAATTCGAATTAATGATAAGTCAATCGACTGAATTTTGTTTGAAAGACACGTTTGAACACGCGACAATGGATTTATCCCTTTGCGTAGAGTCGGTGTATTGCTGGCTGTGAAAAAGTAGTTTATTGCGATATTAGCAAGATATGAGCATGAAGTGATTGCTAGCTGCAAATCCGATCGATAGGCATAGGCGAAGAAGCAACCGCGATGCGATGTAGTGAGCAATTGAACGGTGTAAAGGACAGCGGACCGGCTATCGCAGCGCAAAACGACGAGTAGGTCGACGGCTGAAGGCTGAAGTGGAGCAACGCAGACGGAGGCGGAGGTGTGGAGCTGAATTTGCGCAAATTGGTATGCTGCAGAAGCGCGGTGATCGCCTGATCGCCAAGCCGGGAGCTGATGGCACTAGCGCTGCTGCTGACCATAAAGTAGGTCAAAGAGTCGACGGGCATAGTCAGGTAAGGTGCGTCGAGGGCCAAGGGTCAAGCATCGGGACGGTAGAAGCTGCGTCGGCGGCGACGCAAGTGCGAGGCAATGCCGGCTGCGTCGAGGCGGGCTCCACAGCTGCGCGGCTAACTGCAAGAGGAGGCCGGGGCCGGGGCCGAGGCCGGGCGAACGTACGTACACACGAACGAACGAACGAACGAACGAACGAACGAACGAACGAAGCAGGCAAGGCGCGAGCAAGCGAGTGCACGGCTCCGCTCGGCTCGGCTCGGCTCCGCTCGGCGGCTCGGGTAAAGATGGGGTCGCCCGAGGCGAAAGCGAATGGGCCGCCGCTCTGCGCTGCCAGCCTGGCCGGCTGTTTACTTGCACGATCAATATACCAAAATACGCCGGCTGCAGCCTGCGCTACGCCTATATATTCGACAACCACGCCAGATCAGCAAGCTAAGCTTCTCCCCTTTATTGTCTACAATAAACATGCTCGCGCCACCGTCCAACTTTTCACCCCAGCACACGCAAACATAGTCCGCTTCGCGACCACCCTTCTGACACGAACCAATGGCCAGTTACTGTTACTCAAAACATAAAAGTTTCAATGCTATTAATTAATTGGTCGTAGCTATTTAGAACGATACAACGCAATCGACTCGAAAAAAGTTCGTTTTGTCTTATCGTTGCACATGCAGTGCCGATTGTAACTGCTCAAAAATAAAACCGACGAAGTCTGGCAGCGCAGATATAACAAACACTAAGGCGAACAAGAGAGAACGATCGAAGCAACGAGCGAGGAGACGTGGTTGCGTGGCAATTTTGGAAATGGGAGCCCCGGAATGAGCGACACTGGCCAACGTCACCGTTAGTTTTCTCTCTCTCGTTCTGCCGCCTCCTTAACTATAGCTCGCAGTGGCGGTGGCAGCGGCAACACAGCGCCGGGAATTCGCTTGGTTTCTCCTATCCGCATGTGTCTGCGGCTCCGTTTGCGCGCGCACGCGCTTGCTATATCGGCCGTCTTTGTCGCTCTACAGCACCGCGCGCAATTTTTAGCGCTACTCTTTGCGAGGCTAGGGCACACGGCGCAGACTATTACTGCACATAGCACGACTCGGAATCACTGAGTGCATATCTGCGCCCGTGAAAAGTAACGCTGGCTAGAGAGGAAAGCTGGTCGATCAAGGAAATGGTGCGACTGGCCGGAGCCCCAGTTTGAGCGCCACTGCAGAACAATAACTTGAAGCAGCGTGAGCTCTCAAAATGGCTGTCCTCAGCTATTATTACCTTGGCCAGTGCCAGAGAAAGAGCGTTGTAGAGGGAGTAAGAGCCAACCGACGCTGTAGCTCCTTCAATTTTCTTTCTCGCTCACTCTCTCTCTCTCTCTCTCTCGTACTCATATACCAACTGGCACTCGCATAACCATAAAGCTCGAACACGCTGTTCAATCGACGATGTAACTCGGTCTCAGTCAGAGAATTCCATATTCCATAACTACGGCGGGTACCAACTAGTCTTTAGTTTGTCGTGACCGTTGACGCATTGATAAATCGAGTGTTTCATGTGAGTAGATATGACTAAGTCGAACCAAAACGGAAATAATATTGTAAGTCCTCTGGCCGTTTGTGTACGTTTGCGCGCATGATATAAACACATATAGCTGATGGCAATAGACGAGTCGCTGGTCTTTTTGGCGGGTAACTATAGTTTGAAGAAACGCGTGTTCGTTTGTTTACTTCGAGTTGTAAAGGCAGGCGTTCCGAGTATCGCCATGTACAATTGTTAATGATTATCAATCCGTATGTCGTTCAGCGTAAATACGAATGGACGATGCAAGGGCGGTGGGTAGGAAGGCGGGTGGGCCGGGAGGGGAGAGGAGAGGGGAGGCGGTAGGCCAAGTAGTTATATGCTTACCGTTTGAAATGCTCTCGTATTCGGTCCTCACGGATGTTTTCCGGCAGATTTCCAACCCACAGGTGACGTGTCTCTCTAACCATTTTGCTCCGAACTCTTCATTTGGGATCGGATGTTGTGCTATCGTTTGGCGGCACTGTACAACGACACACAACACTCGCGTATCCTGAAGTTGATCGGTTCGCACTAACACGAGCACACTGCAGAGCCACGGGCACACGAGTGATTGGTTGCGAAGCTCTGAAAAGCCTCTCGTTTTCAACACTCGCGAACAACTCAAATAATCTCACTAGTGCAACTGCTGCTCACTGATCGGCCCATGCACCGGCAACGACGAGGACGAGGACGAACGCGGCGGCGGCTGCGGCGACGGCAACGCTAGTGGATTGTAGTGGCTGCTGCAGCTCTGGAGCGGCCGCCGTTTCCTCGTTGCCGGGTACCGCATCGTACGCGTGTACTATCTGACTTGGTCACTCGCTGGCATCATGCTGCCACAAGCGTGGGACAGCTGCGAGCCTGATCTGGTTGGGTCGAGCCCACCGGCAGGCCTAGCCGGCGCTTCTTAAGGAGTGCGGCCCGGCACGCAGCCCACATCTCAACACCGCAACACTCGCGGCCACACACTCGGGCACAACACTCTTGGCCACGCGCGCACGCTGCACCTCGGATCAAAGACACGCTTTTCTCTCTCTCTCTCTCTCTCTCTCGCTAGCTGCTTCTCTGGCTCGCTCTCTCCCCACGCCTTACCACTGTGACCGCACCGACTGCTCAGGCCTGGTCACATCTCTTACCACTGCTCACTACCAATCAACACTTGCATAGACGCACTTTATTATTTTCATGGGGCACACACATGCACTGTAGGAGCTCGGCCGCTGAATTTGGCACACTGCACAGGCACTGCACGGCTGCCACACCTCGAGGGGAGCCGCTCGCTTGGTTGCGTCGCTTTATTCAGCCTGCTTGTCACGTCGGCCAGTCGTTGGTCGTGAGAGCGAAAAGAGAGAAAGAAAAGGCGCGTTGTCCGTCTGTATCACGTCGAGTCGAGGTTTTCGCTGGCTGCTACTCACTTGGTTAGCGACGTAGCGTGCTTCGCGGACGGAGGAGCCTGGCTTTCGCTCCTGCTCACTGCACTACACTACTCAAAGTGACGTCACCGTGGCGGGAGCGTAGCGAACTGCTAATACTGCTATTGCCGCGCCGCCGCCATTGCCGCCGGCCAGCCCCAGCAACCAGCGCGCCGCCTGGTGGGGGCAGCGTTAGCGGAGTTCGGCGCTTGGGAAACGAGTTTCGCTGGCTTACTCTTGCCCCACCCCAGCGCCGCTTACCGCCCCTCCATCGTCCGATTTGTAGGAGGGGGACGAGAGAAAACCGCCGCCGTAGCTCGGATCATCCGAGATCTGAGAAGAGAACCGCCCGACGACCCTACACAGCAATGTCTCTCTGCCCCTCCTCTTCTCAACCCGCTTCTCTCAAGCACGCACGCTCTCTCTCTCGCTCTTTCTCACTCTGCAGTCTGCAACACCGACACTCCGACTCTCCGGTGCCCAGCCTCCAAGCACCTGGCGTATCAACATTTTCCCTTTTTACAATTAGCCGTCATTCATTTCTCTACAAAACCAAGCCGAAGCGATGAATCAATCGAATAGTCGAACATGATATTTTAAAGAAACCAAATAGTTGTTGGCGATTCTTCAAACTGGAATTTTAAAGCTGGAATAATAAGTTTGCCGTTTACATCGGATCTAACTGCAGCAGAGCATAGAAAAAGAAAGCACATGACGTGCATCACAAATTGGAAACGACGATATAAAAAACAGTTTTGAGGGCGGAAGAAGGAATCAATACACTTGTGAAATACATGACCAGGGCATAATAGATCGAGCATACGATCCTGAAGCTTGCTTGTAAGCTACTCGCACTGCTTTCCTCGCTCTCGGCTGTAATATACTGCGACGTATTATGCTTTACTGAGAAAATGGAAGCCATGCTTCTATATAAAATAATGCAAGTTATGTAGCTAATGGAAAGAAATTAGTGATTGTTCGGTCCGCTAACTTACGACGATAATTTACTAATGTCAACATATGCCTAAACGTGCTGTTCTTGACTTCTTGTTTGAAAAATATATCTAGTACACTTTTACGATGACAGCGTGAAAATTATTTATTATAGCCAGCAAAAAAGAGCTCTTTTATTTCGTAAATATTAATAAACTCGCGGAATGAGTACGATTCGATTAAGAAATATTTTTTCAAATTACAAGAAAGGGATGAAGGTAAAAGTAAAATACGTAAATATATGGCAATTATGAAGGATGAAAATAAGCAAAGAAAATACACAAACGAAGCAGAACAGTGAGAAGCAATGAAATCAGAATGAAATAGGCAAAGCAATGAAAATTGGAATTGTACGTAAAAAGATTAGTATACGAAAGAGACGGAGAATAAAAAGCACGCTCGCCAGGCCGAGAAAAAGAGAGAAGAAGAACGAGGAAAAGGACAGAAAATGGTGAAGAAGGTCTTTCTCGTTCTCCGTTGCTCTCACGTTATGGCAAAAAAGAAAGGAAATAACAAAGGGGGACGCGAAAAAGAGACAGCTGGCTAGCGAGAGACGCGCGTGCAAACGGGAAAGTCGAGCGAGCGAGAGAGAGAGAGAGAGAGAGAGAGAGAGAGAGAGAGAGAGCGAAAAAGCGCCGCGAGGAGAAGTAGGTAACGGGAAGGGGCAGCGCCACGAGGAGCAGTCAAATGCGCATGTTCGTCAGCCGCCGTGCCACAGCTTCATAACCGCCGTTTCTTTGATCCAAAGCTATTCTCTCAATCTCTCTCTTGCCTGCATTAAACAGAGATCGAGATTAAAATGGAGATAACAGGCCGAATGAGCTAAGTAAAACCTGCTCAGCATCACACGGTCAATAAAATCTTTAATCTTATATGTGCAATTTAAACAATGCTCACCTTATTCAATAGTTTTGTAACGAATACATTCGATGGGAAATCGAACAGTCAAGTGACTTAAAATTACACATGACAAATCTTACCAACGTGGCTAAATGAATCGATTGACCTACTGCCATTTAAATAAAACAAGTTCATTCGTACATACAGATACACGAGCGTCGTCATGTTAAAAGCTCTTACGCGCCTCGTCGATCTTTTCCTAACCAATAAGACTACATATGTGTTGATTTTAGAAAACTGCTCAATTATGCATAATATAATTCGTCATAAGCTCCGCGAGCAAATTATTACAAAAAAATGTTTGATTATCAACTTGCTTAATGTTCCATCAAAAACGACCCCACAGACTATTGTATTATGCACAGCAGAGAAAAACAAACACATAGCACTTTATCTTCGTTGCTACAATCATTAATATGATTTTAGGCGATTATTGTAATTGTAATTATATTTGGCCTCGCAAAACTTGAACGGTCGCGTTGTGTACACATAATTGGCACTACAGATTGCAATGCGTGGAGACATCTGACGACGAAAAATCAAATTACAGTCACTTCCTTTAAGTGATGTTACCATTGGTTACTTCTGTCTGACTGTTATGTCAATGCTTACACGGGTTGAGTGTTGCTAAATGAAACTTGCTATTAAGGCAAAATATAGGAGTGATAATGTCGGAAAAAATTAATAGAGACTTCGAAGAAAGCGAGGAACCGTCAGTTTTATCTTCGGATCCAGATGAAAGAAAATTGGCTCGACGCCTGCGAATCCAGAAGCGCATCGAGGCGTTGAAAAGGTATGTAACTAATTTTGATCGAGCGTTACTCGTCACATCAACATTAGCAGTATCTGGCGAGCAATTTCATTTTACCGGATGATCGACGATTGTAGATTAGATGGCGACGAAGAAGAAGACGCCGTCGAGCAAAGTCTCACGGAGAAGCAAATCATTGAGAGCGCAGAGCTTTTGGAAAAGCTGCTTACCGAGGGCAACGAAGTGGTGAGTTTAGACTGCACAAGCCTCAACGTCAAAAGACCAAGTGTGCCGACTGATCGTCGAGCTTGTAGATTACAAACGTGCGCATTGCCAACGATGCGCGAGAGCTGGAGCGTCGAAAGTCGGCGAGCGAGATCCGCATGACTCTACTGAAGCACCTGGATGAGAGTGCGCGAGAATGCCAACAGCGTTACGAGATCATCAATGAGCGTTGGGCTACGATTCTACAGTCAAACGATCCCCTGGATATCAAGACACAAATGGACATGCAGAAGGACAAATGCGACGAGGTGCTGGCCAAGAAGGATGCGGTTATCGAGGAGCTGAAAATGCAGTTGAGAAGGGCCGATGACGAGTACATGGACGATCAGAGTCGGCAGAAGACCGACATTAGCCTGCTGATCGAGAGAATCGAGAACCAGGTGCGCAGGCGGCTCCCGCGGATGCCTACAGGTCCGCTCAGCAACTCCCTTCACTTGCCTTTTGCAATTTGCTTTCGAGTCACAGATGGGTAGCATGGAAAACTTGTACGACCGAGAGCTCGAGCTCGTGGTCAAGAGCCTCGAAAGCGAGCGAGAGACTCTGGTCAGCGGCTTCCGTGACAGGTGGGAAGCACTTTACCGGCAACAAGAAGACGAGGACCTCGCCGGCGATAGCAAGCGGGATGAGATTATCGCGGAGTACGAGCAGCGAATGGACAAAGCGATGAGCGAGCACGACGAGGAGTACCGGGCACGAAAGATTCAACTGGAGAGCGAGTGCCAGGCGTTGCAGCAACACGTGCAGAGGACCAAGGCCATGTGCTTGCTCAACGCCGAGAAACTGGCTTACAATTACACCGTACTGAAGAATCGCGAAGACGAGAACTCCATAGTAAAAAACCAACAGAAGAGGAAGATCAACAGGTGAGTATTGACGTACCGGGCGTCGATCGCGCGCCCTTCGCTAACTCCCAACGATTTTTAGGCTTCAGGCTATCATTAGCGCTTTGCAAAAGAATTATTGCCAGTTGGAAGAGAGCACCAAATCGGAAATTGACAAGTTATCCAGTCAAATTACTAAAACTCATACTAATATAACGGAGCTCGAAGAAAAGTCCATGCACTTTACGCGCGTCAATGAGAAACAATACTTGGATATTTGGCAAATGAACGATGACAACGTCGCTCAGCTCATCAACAAAGTGATGTTTTTTGCCTTTTTCCTCGTTTCTCAAGTCAAACTCGTATTACGGTAGCCTATACCAATAAAGAACTTTCGAAGTTCAGAGGACTGCTGCTATACTAATTTGCAATGGCATTCAAAAATAAGCAACAACAACAATAAGATTGATTTCAAAAGAAAATGCCAATTTCAATTCATTTTTTATATTACTGGTAGTTATGCTTCAATCCAAGAATACTGAAAAGAAGCTATCTCGGAAGTATACTTTTTCAAATAAACCTATCCTCCATTGAAATCGGTTGAATCGCCCTAGAGGTATGCGGAATAGTACATTACGATACAAGTGTAGGAAAGTAGATTTTTGTCTCGTGTGGCGTTTACGCCCGAGCGAAGCGAGACTGGAAAGGCAGACGAAACGAGAAACATTTGCCCGAACTGTTGTACAGTATTTTTTGCGATACTCTGTGCGCAAAGTGTATCTTTTCCGCACGCTCGGCAGAAAATGTGTGTTGAAAATCGCACCTTCCACACGTCGTATCAAAAAATACGATACGGTACATGTACGGGAAAGAGTTTCTTGTCTCGTGTCTCTCTTCACTCTCGCTTCGGTCGGGCATAAACGCCACACGAGACAAGAATCTACTTTCCTGCACTTGTATCGTAATTTACTAAATTCCAGTGCATACATAGAAAAACTAAAGTAGAATATGAAACCTCTCTCCTTTCTACAATCAGCCAAAAAAGAAGCGTTGAAAGTACAATTTCCAAATTTCATCAATTATAATTAAGCGATGAAATGCTCTGAAAAAATATAGCCTATAAATCATAAATTTGTTTAAATATTTTATCTTAATCTTCATACTAATTATAGTAAGCAAAAGCTCGAGCTCTCGAGCTCCGGAAGTTTTTGTGCCAAGCAATCAACAAAGTTATTCTCGATTGTTAAAGTATTCAAATTGAACCCATGAGCTTTTGAAGCTTTAGCAAGAGCCAAAATTATATTACAGCCATATCTTAAACAACAGCAATTCCTTTTTGCTGACTTAAGAAAAAAAGGTTCCTATATGTTTGCGAATATTTATGGAACGATTCAACTCATTTTAATAGGGGTAAACTTATTTGAAAGAGCACGCTAGGAAATAGGTCATATTATTGATTTAATTGATGAATAGTTTTGAGTTTTTGTAAAATGATATATAAAATATATATATCATTTTTTCTAAAAATTACTTGTTTCTTCTTTTTTTTCTTCACATAGATTTTCACGATTGATCAAATGATTCACGAACGAATTTTGGGCATTTTATGGGAGCCTCCAAAACATACTTGGCCGAGAAAAGAAGATTTAACTTCATACCGAATCGCCATGGAGCATTTAGCTAAAAACCGTAACTGCACCTACTGCTTTTATTCTCTTTTCTAATTAATTAGCTTTATTTTAAGTAATTTTGACTTAACAAATAAATTTGCAGAAAAGCAACAAGGCGCAGAAAAATCACAAGACAACGCGATCAAAAAATTGAAAAAGTCTCTTTCGGAGGTGAGGCTCGAAAAGCAAATACTCAACAATATTTTAAAGCAAATATCGAATTCTTCAGACTATTTTGTTGAAAGTAAATTACAAGAATTGATATCACATCGTAGTGAAGAAGAAAAAACGATTATCAAATTGGATAATGTATTTCAGGTAATAGTGGCTTAGATTTTCCTATGGCGCATCAATGTGCAAAAAACGTCCTCACCAATGTCGCATTGCATTCGTAGGCTTTATCGATTTCAAGTCCGGAAGAAATTGATATATTATTAGACTTTTTCTTACCTTATTCACACTGCCCTAAATGTTCGGCGCACGACGACGCCAATTTGAAATGTCCTGAAGAATCTTTAACAGATACCACCGAAACGTCGTGCTGCTCAAACCATTGTGAAGGATGTAATGTCAATGTTAAAACATTAATCGCATCTGTTGAAAATGAGCTGAACATCGCTAAAGCAATTCAAATAGAGGCTAACGATGAAGATGACGTACTCGAACACAGTTTTGACAAAACTGAAGGTAAAATAGAAGACGTGCGGTGATACAAAACGCTTGTCGACAATTGCGATTGATTTTGTTTTTCAGAATGCAGCAATATTACCGTAAATGAAAGTAGTAAATGTGCTAGATTCAAGTGTTCTAAAGGTCACGTGCTCGAGATACAAGCAGCATGCGTAACAAAAGCTTTAAAAGAAATGATAACTAAATGTAATAGTGACAAAGGAAATAAAATTTTATCATTTGAAGAAAGATTAAAGGAGACCAAATGTACAATTTCAAGAAACTTGTCACTGACAGACGTTAAAGATTATTGGTCAAATTACCGAGACATTTTTACCGTACAAAAAGAACAACTGTGGAATGCTGTTTTAATAGGGCTAAATAAATACCATGAAGCGTTGAAAAACAGACATAATCTTTGGAATGAGAAAAATGCTTTAAAAAAACAAAATTTGGAGCTACAAAGGCTTTTGGAAACTCATACGAGTGTAAGTATAAGATTTATATTCCGTATCTAGCTTGCTGAAAAGCCGAAATAAAATGCTTATTTAAATTATACAGGTAGAAGACAATACAAATTCATTCAACAAAACGTTTGGCACATAAATAATCGATACTCGGACAATTCCACAATCATTCACACACAATCACATGAAATATTTTTTTGTTCAACGGGTATTACATATATTGTAGATCTAATATTTGCAAAATTAATAAATGTATGAGATATATAACTTTTCTTATATATTGACAAAACATCACATTTTCATTACACCATTTCTGTAATTTCAACATATACAGAATTTTAAGTAAGGAGTAATTTATATATCATTCTGATCAACAAAAAGTCATTTTTAATCTTATGGAATCCTGAAAAACTGATTGTACTGCTAATAACCATAGTGTTGATAGCCAGCAGACACAAAATTGTTTGAAAACCCTGAAGTAGCAGGCACTGTAGTTGCATTATGTGTATAACTATAAACTGTTTGATCTTTCTTCCAATATGGGAAATATCTTTTTTTCTTTGTGTTTTTACTACTGGTATGGTTGATTTTATCTGAATGTTTCTGTGATGCCAAATGCTAAAACATGATAAGTATCAAAATTTGTACTAATGGCACTCAAGATAATTACATTATTGTGTAAATGTAAAAAAGGTAAACATCAGTAATAAAAGTTATTAAATTATGTAGTCTTTGGAGCTTATCCTATAAATATTCTATATAGGATATACATTATTACACTACCTTTAATGTATTAAAGGATCAAAATATCATACCACATTCAACTGTGATGGAGAATTGAAAAACTTGTTGCATGGTTTACAAGCTAATAATTTACTATTTGCCACTGGTTGAGGAGCGTAATTTGATCGGCTCAAGATGACATCACTTTTTGAAACAATTTCCTTGCCGCACCAGTCACCTATAGGCATTAATGTGGGATCAATACTATCTATTTATCACAATTGCCACGAGCTATCTGTGATAATAAATCAGTTTGAACTCTACATCTATGCCATAAACAAATTATTAATTATAAAATTTATTCCTTTTCAAATTGCTAGCAAATTTTCAAATCTGTGTTGAGAGGAGATACTTATATAGAGAATATTAGAGCAGGCTATTAAGGGTTGATGGAAAATGGATAAAAACAAGCAAAGCTAAATAATAAAAAATAAAAGCAGCAAATAGAAAATATGCATTAGGATATGTTGCTTTATTTTACAGTTTTATATATAAATATATGTATGCATACGAATAAATATAAATAATTATTTTTAAAACAACAGTTTTTGTCTTACGACTTGTGAACATCAATAAACTTTTTCATATAAACTAACAACATCATTCATTAAGTGCACTTGTAATCAACATTAACATAAATTAAATAATGAAACATATAACTTTAAATAAATATCAACATTTAAGCTCTAAACGTAATAAATCATTAAACACTTGGACTGACTAAATACAAAAACAATCATTAAAGGAGGTCAGAGCATACGAAATGAGAGAAAATTATAAAATATATAAGTGAAATATAAAAGTCAAAAGCAGAACAAGGCATGCAAAAGTAAAAAGTATTAAACAGTAAATAAGCATAACAGCATTTTTTTCAATCAACTGATTAAGGTAAACTGTACGTCTACATGTATAATTAGTAGATATTGGATTTTTTGCCATTTTGTTTTTATTACCTTTGGCTAATTTTTTCTTGTGACGATTACCTGTAATATAACAATCAAAACTCAAAATAGATATATACTTTTAATAAATCTCAACCATCTATGCAAGTGTCATTTTAGAATATATTTTACCATTTAAATGAGTCTGAAGTTGCTGTATTGAGTTGAGCAATACATTGCAAGGGTTGCATTTTAATCCATTAGTCACCTCATCTTTACTAAAAGCAATATTAGTCTGTTCCAGAGTTTCCATGATATTTTTGGAGCGAAGCTGAAAAAAGAAAGTTTTAAAGAATTTTATGTATAGATTGTTGTTACATTTTAGTGTGAATAATAACATTAAGAAAGAATATAAAAGCAAAAAAATGACTCACTGTATCAATCTTTTTAATAGATTGTTCACTATAAATAATGAGCAATGAAAAGAATGTTTATGCTAGGTCTAACCTGTTTAGCATGGCGAGATCCCTGAAGGTGAGCATCAAGAACAATCTGACTTGTGAAGTCAAGACCGCAGTCATGACATCGAACTTGTGGTTTTTTAGTTGGAATTTTTCCCATAATATTATCAACAACAGCTTTGGAAACAGGATCTATTTGTGACTGGCTCATTGCCCTTAGTGCTGACATGTTCATGTTTGTTGATTGTTGGTATTGCCTACATACAACAGATTTGATAACGTATAGTAAACATCAAAACAAAAAGTACTGAATTGTAAATTAAATTAATGATAAACTTGAAGTAAAATGAGAAACATCTGTTATTTTTTATGCAATAAACTGAACTTTATGAATGAATATACCTATTACAATAAAACATGACAAATTTTATTGCAAAAAAAACTTGTAAAGGAATTAAATCTTGTGTAATGACTTACATGTTTCTGAACATTCTGCTGGTTCACGAGGTAGATAATACGAGAAGTACCGACGCCGACATTAGACATTGACTCAAGCATCAACTGCGGGATTACAACAATCTCCTTCCTGCGAGTGTCAAACGCTGACTAGCGCCACGGCTATATAATATATGTATATATATTCTGTATATATATTTATTCTATTCTATAATATTACAGTGAAACTTACAGTATGGTATATATTTATAGATATTGTCAATTCGTATACTGAGCTTGCACAAGCGGTGTGTTGAATGGTATACAGATTTCGAGATATTGGAGTTTGATGTTTAAACAAATCTGTGAAACTAACATATTACCTTTGAAATTATTATTTAAATGTATTAGTTTAAAAAAAATACTAAAAAAATTAAGTTTACAATCAAACATAATGTACCGCGATAATTAATTAGCTGGCCCATCTGCAATGCTTATTAGAAGAGGAAACTTTAAGGGGGAATATCTTGATTTAAAGTACCGTTATATCTATGTTCAATTTTTTTCAATGAAAAAAATGATTATCATCAAAATTTGAAAGGAATCTAAAGGAAAGTATATACCTTTGAAAAAAACGTACTTAAGGGGTTACGTGTTATTCACGATTCCATCCGTATATAACATTTTGCTGGTACATTTAACTAAAATATTTAAGAATAACATCTAACAGTATATACTAAGCAAAGGTTTGTAAATAGATGAACTTTAGTTAGAACAATAACGAGCCTTTAAATGTTTTTTTTGGAATAGTATATAGTGTTAAAGTCTTTGCCGGTGCATAACAGCTTCGCTCACCAAAAATTTTAATAGATTCATATCCAAGCTAATACTGTGCAATAATATATATAAAGAGCGAACGAGAAAGATAGTGTAGGGGAGAGTCGAAAATTTTACGAAGTAGTTTCACAACTGCAATAATATTAGAAAAACTTACGTGCGTTCGCGAGCTCGCAATAATGAAACGTAACCCTCCCTATCTGGAGTAAACCTCGCCTGGATTCGCGCTCCTGTTCAACTTCGTAAGCACGACGATCCCAGTGGATGATCACAGCTTTGAGATTCAGCAGGTTACTCGGTGAGTTTTGCCGTCTATGGCGCAGCACTCTTAATTATCTCTTTGGAATTGGTATTATTCGACTGTTTCAAGACTAATCTAGACGATTGGATCACGCATAAGCACACGCATTCCCGACCCGAACGCGCTTGGGACGCGAAGGAAAATTTCCGCAACTCGGAGCGGGCACGCGTGACGTATGGCTCGACCAACGATCAACCAAAATCTGCCTAACGGCTAATTTCATTCGTCCGTGCCCCTTAATCTCTCATTACTATCTCTCTCGACCTATACGCTCAATCGCGCGCGCCCTCTCTCCTAGATAATATTTATACTTCGTATATTCTCTTGACAAAACAAACATTCTTTTGAGATCGTAACGGTCGCACGTAATTCATTCATTTATTTCGTCGTTTGTTATAATATCGATTCAAGGTTTCCGAAGGAAAATTGCAAGGATTGTCAAGTGAATGGGCTGTAACAAAGTGCACCCAACACCAATAGTGAAGTTATAAACATAGAGGAAACTCTATTACACGATGACGGCGAAATCTCGACTTTGTATTCTGCACAGCTCTTGCATTCGGTAAGAACTACTTCGTCAAGATTATGAAGCTTTTTGGTTCCTCGCCTTATCAAAATTATGAATTATTATTTCAATAAATTACAGCTCTGAAGAGGGGTTGTCTGACTATTTGGAACCGACAAAAAAATAAACGTTTGTTATGCTCTGACGAGGCTTAATTGACTCGGATTGTTGTTTTTCACCATTCTCAATACACCTTGCATATACAGGATAAGAACCAACAAATGACGAAACAAAATTCATCTATATCTTTTTTAGGGTTTTGGAATTTTTGCAAGTGATATCTGTTAGAATGGTTCATTAAATATCAAGAACAATTAACTTTATTTCCATAAAATTTGACTTGAATAGTTGTGTCATAAATTACGGTGAGTGAAGCAAATAATCTCTTTCGTATCTAAAATATCGTTGATTTTTTAATTGTTTTCTTTACGAGATAACGCTCAGGAAAGAATTAGTCTCATCGAAATCTTCTAGGCAAATCGTGGAAGGAGAGTCATCTAATAAATTGTATAGCTCTATACAAGCGTATAACAACGTCTTGAACAAACAAAGAATTTTTCTTAACATACAGACGAAATAGAACCAACTGTGAATCGAACGCACACCCTTTCAAATAAGATAACTTTCATACAAATCGGTTCGACCATTCGGGTGGTATGCGCTTGAACAAATATTGTAAGACATTGGATCAAAAACAGAATTCCTTCCGGAGCCGGCAATGAATAGATATAAGCAATGAATTTTATATATCACGCGCGACGCAAAGAAAGATTGTTTACGTAATATACGTGGGGCGTAATTGATAACGGCGCTTCATCGCACGCAGCTCTGTTTGCTTATCACATTTGTTAAAATTGTTTGCTTTAATGATTTTTAGTTAGCTAGCAGTATTTACCCTTTAAAATATCAATGAACCTCCACGGTGAAATTGCCCTCGATCTGTATAAAAGTTCTTTGGAAACGAAAGAATATAAGGTCCCATAGCTCAGCGAGTAGTGTAAAAATGCTTGATTTGATATAATCTCTAACTTCATCGAAAAATGCTAGAGCCATTTTTCCCGCCTTCCCATGCGTCTACACTAACATATGTACAAATGTACATCAAGGCATTGATCTATAAAAAATGTCCGATATAAACGTAAATAATATTGCAGAATTAAGATTCAGAAAGTAGTTAACTTTATAGTGTGCGTACATCATGTGATTTTCGAGTTTGACATTTGAAGTCGCGCGCTCACTGCTCTGGCAGAAAACGTGCCGCAGTTGGCGCAGCTGCGCAACAGAGGACGAGTCGCAGTCGCTTGTACTGCCGCGGTGGCTGGCCTCGACAACTCGACAAGCTCGACTCTTGAGCTGCTCGAGCAAGCCGCGAGTGCCGACAGAGGTGTTGGTGTCGGTAAATGTTCTCTCTGTCTGAGTGTCTGCCGTCTGGCTCTGTGCCCTGTGGCGGCGCGAGCGAGCAGCGATCATCGCGACACTGAGAGACAGATATAGCAGCAGCCATCTTATATTTTGCCTTTGAGAAAAACACAGTCAACAGAGGCTGAGAACGGCGAATTTTTGGGCCTTGGGAATGACCGTCTTGGGAGGAGCTTGAGCCCAAGGGCAGCCCGGCCTCAGCCCGTTCGAGCCAGTGTCGAAGCCAGCGACAAGTCGGCGTGCTCTCCATATGAGGCACTTTTTTCACCGCGAGCCTGGACCACTACATTAGCAAAGGTTAGTGCAGCTCCATCCTGCCCTAGAGCCTGCGGTCACGGTAACCTTAGCCCCAGCCCGCCAAGCCCGCCAAGCCCGCCAAGGTCTCCACCTTGCTCTCGACCTCAGCTCCTCCTAACTCTCTCGGTCTCTTTCTCTGTCCGTTTATCTCTCTCCCTCCGTCTGCCTCTGTCGCTCGCTCTGCCGAGCTGGTCGTCGTCAGCTAGCCAGCCAAAGAAAATAAAGGAGAGCGAGAGGGAGGAAGACGGAGCCCGGCTGTCCGGAAAGCTTTCCACCGATGCTCGCTGCTCGACGTCGAGCATATTCTTCCGCCGTCCGTCTGTCCGTTCGTCTGCCGATTTTCGCGCTACCACGGAAAAGTTATGCAATCAGCTGATCGGCCAGCTAGACTCTGTCAGTCAGTTGTCAAAAATAAATGTTGCTAAGCGATGCAGCACTGGCGGTCGCAGCTCTAATCTGACGGCTCGCGCTTGGCGCGCTTTTCGCGCGCGCTGCTACGTCCAATACAGTGCTCGGTGAAAGCTCTCTCGCGTCCTTGCTTTTCTGCGCTTCTGCACTTCTGCACTTCTGCACTTTTATTGTTTCTGCTATCAAGTTACTGACACTATTTTGCAATCGCAACCCAGGTGGATTGGTACGCAGGATATGAGCAGTTTGTCAAACGCAACCTGACTCTGCTCCCACACCAGCAAGCCAGTCAGCCGCTGCATCAGCCACAGCAGCCCTTGCAGCCAACACTGAGCCATTCACAGCAGCCTGACCTGATAATGACATCCATGTTCGAACAACAGATCAAGAGCGAGCCCATGGGTTTCTATTCGGTGGCATCCAGCAGATCTGATGGCTCCAACTCCATGGTCAACCTGTCGGACGACAGAGAGGAACTGTCCCAGCAGGAAGGCCACCTGCAAGCGCAGCAGGGCTTGGTGGTACACCAGCACCAGCAGCAGCAAATACAGGAGCACCACCAGCAGCAGCTGCAGGAGCACCAGCATCAGCAGTCACAGGAGGAGCACCTGGGTCAACAAGAGCTGAGCCAGGATGAGCACAGCCCGATGATGCATCACGAGGAAGAGTTACAGCAGCAGTCGGACGACAGGCAGTCGACTGGGTCGCAGCCGGGCAAGGAGGCCAGCCGGTCGAAGCCGCAGCCGTGCAAGGTCTGCGGCAAGGTGCTGTCCTCAGCCTCGTCCTATTACGTGCACATGAAGCTGCACTCAGGCAACAAACCCTACCACTGCACCGTCTGCGAGGCGAGCTTTTGCCGCAAGCCCTACCTGGAGGTGCATATGCGCACCCACACGGGCGAGCGGCCCTTCCAGTGCGAGCTCTGCCTCAAGCGCTTCACACAGAAGAGCAGCCTCAACACCCACAAGCGCGTGCACACCGGCGAGCGGCCTTACTCTTGTGACATCTGCCAGAAGCGCTTCGCTGTCAAGAGCTACGTCACGGCACACCGTTGGTCCCACGTGGCCGAGAAGCCGCTGGTTTGCGAGCGCTGCTCGCTCACCTTTACCTCCAAGAGTCAATTCGCCATCCACATACGCACCCATACGGCCAGCACCACCTTCGAATGCAACATCTGTGGGCGTACGTTCGTGCGCGACAGCTACCTGATTCGCCACCAGAATCGCGTGCACCGCGAGCTTTCGCAGCAGGCCTCGCAGCAGACGGCGCAGCAGCAACCTCAACAGACGTCGGTGGCCAGTCATGAGCCCGGCACGCCGCATAGCTCAGGCGCCGCCACGCCCGGCGGCGGATTCGAGAGCCCCGTCTGCGACCTACGCTACGCCGAGGGCCCGTCCAGCTTGGAGGCCCTGCAGACGGCCAAGCCCGGCCAGGTGATTGCCGCCGAGATCGCCAGCCTTGCAGCCAAGCAGAGCAGCCTGCAGCTGCCGCTGCCGCTGCTACACCCGCAGACCACCAACTAGTGCTCGCCTCCGCCGCCCCCGCGCTGCTTCCGCACGAGCGACTCGCCCTCGCCGCCCTACCGCCAACAGCAGCAACAGCAGCAGCAGCAGCAGCAGCAGCAGCAGCAGCAGCAGCAACAGCAGCAGCAGCCGCCGCCGCCGCCGCCGCCACCGCCACCGCCGCAGCCGCAGCAGCAGCCACAGTACCACTACCATCAGCAGCAGAGCCTGCACCCCGCGCTCTATCTCTACGCCCAGTACGCCAATGGCAGCCCGGCAGCCCTGCCCTACTCGGCGGACTACGCGCAACGTAATGACACGTGAGACACTCCGAACTGCCTGTCGAGAGCAGCGGATCGATCGCGCTACTCAGCTTCAATGAACCTGCCCCTCTCGATCTCTCGGCTGGCCATCGCTTGGCTCGCATCTCCTTCGTTCGGGCGCTCATCTCCTTCCGTTTCTCATCGCTTCTCTCTCTCTCTTTCTCTCTCTCTTTCTCTCTCTCTCTCTCTCTCTCTCTCTCTCTCTCTTTCTCTCTCTCTCTTTCTCTTACTATTCAACTAACGTACTGCTTTGGCTGAACAGATTCTTCAAATAATCAAAATTGATCCAAACGCACTCCGCCTGGATCATCTAGCTCTTATTTATTTCTATTTGTCTTTAAGTAGCTTCGCTTACCGCCCTTTTCATACGTTTCAAAAGTTTGTTATTCTCATTCATATTTATATGTACTTGCTTGCGTGTGTGTATGTATATATAGAGATATATACATATATTTATATTTATATTGTGACGTTGGTTTTTGTTGAATTATCTAAAACGTTCGTTTGAATTTCAATCCTTCTTTATCGAGAAGTCAAGACTTAGGTATTAAAGATAAGGGTTGTGAACAATTAAATCTTGAGAAAATCGAAAACTTTTGAATATTCCATGTAGAGATTAGACGTTTCCCGATTAAAGGCAGAAAAAAATGAAAATTGTTGAGAACGCCATGGTAAAAGAATAGATATTGAGTCAGTAATATTCGGTCAAGTCTTTGCACATTTCGATTGTCGTGAAAGCATTACATTCTTTTCATTCAGAACGAGACTAATTACACACGCATACACGTATATTGCAGGCATCACGTATATTTATATTATATTTTTAAAGGAGTTTTAGTCACTTGGATCTGTGATATAGATAGTAATTATTGTCTATAAGAGTTTGAATATTGGTTTAACTATTTCGATATGATAATCGATAGCAAAGAAGAAAAAATACAAGAAGCAAAACAAAAAAAAACAAAAAATGAACAAGTGAAATAAAAAGTAAAAAATAAAAACAAAAGAAAATGAATAAATATTGAAGTAACGATAAAATCGGATGAGTTGCAATGTACCTACGCGATTGTTTACTATAGATTTTCGGCACTGTCACTTGCGATCGCATCAGCGCACGCTATTAGCTATAATTTCTAGCGGATTAATAGCGCGATAGTAAAATCTTCGGTACACTTGTGAAATCGAAAGGAAAAGAATGGTCTTTTAGTCGGCAATTTGCACAGCAAGTAAATTTCAAATAATTTCCACGCGAAGCATCAAATGGAGTGCCGTCATGATAATCAAAGCTAGGCTTGTTTATCGAGCAAACCCTCGAGTAGGCATTATCCGTTCAATAAGTTGGCACAAGAGAGAGAGCATTCGGTTTTGAACTTTAGCTCGAGTCAAGCAATAGGCCTCGGGTGAGGTTGTTTTTGAAGACGGTGAATGGAGTACGTTTGCAAACTTGAATGCGGCAGACATGGAAGAATACGAATTTCAAACAATTTCCGAATAATTGACAAATCCAACGAAGCTATTTACTCCTGGTCCTCGGTCTAGATATGATCGGTAGATCTGTTAGCGCCAAACGCGTTGGGCATGCGCTACGAAACGATACAGCACGAAAAGGGAGATAATTACGCTAGGCTGGACAGTGTCAGACGGAAAATCGTCTAACGATGAAATCTGGCATAAAAAGCGATATGTCCACTGTTCGTACATTTCGCTAATGCGTAAAATGCACTAAGATTCGAACGGATACGCTTTGACTTTGTTAACCTGGCGGCTGTATTTCTGCTGATACTTTGACATTAGTATTCGAGCATTGAATTTGGCTTCTTTTCGCGTAGGCGCATTCGTTTGCTGGATAGAGCGCTGTGAACCATAAGTATACATACGATATGAATAAAGTAACTAATTGATATGATAGCGTAACATTACACGTAGATCTATTGGATCGCGTCCAGACGTTTCTCCTCGCGAGCTAAATTTCATTTGTCTTCGAGTCGTAGCCAGAGAAGACTTTGCTCTTAGTACATGCGTAGTGGCGTACTTACTTTGTTCAGGCGTACGTAACGTAGCGAGCAACACTCGGTGATAAGACGAGACGTAGGGAGGAAGCAGTGCTGCGAGTCGAAGAGAAACGAAAAACGCGCAAGGCAGTCGCGGGGCTGCTTGACGAAGAGCGTTAATTTTTAGTTTGATCGTTCTTGCATACTAACTGACACGGCTTATTCACACCTGATCACATACGCAAACCTACACGTATATTCAACAAGTACAGAGCCGAAATGGAACGCTGATATACATATAAATATATACATATATTTTTATAACTACGCAAAATCACAAAAGATTTGTTATTATTTGTTATATTGGGCGAGAGTGGCCGAATTGCGGACGAGTCGCGCGCGCTCGTGTCTGCCGAACTCACTGTGCCAGTGCCCTGTATTTCCGTACGCGTTCGCTATTGTATCCGTTTGCTGCTTTTTCCATGCCGTTACGTTGATCGTATCGACTCGGTCGATCTTGCAACCGCTGGCTCGCCATCCGTGCACGTCGCGCGCGCAGAGCACTCGTTGGTCGATTGACCGGTCCACTGCTTTAGCGTACAAAAGTTGTCTCGTTTGCAAGGCGCATCCGCTCAAAGAGAGCAGCTGCATTGATTGTTAGCGCCGAGCAAGGCTCGCAGCGAGCCGCGGAAAAACAGCAACAGCGAATTATAGTGGCACGTCCGAGTTGGAGTGGAGCGGACGCAAGGGACAAGCGAACGAACTGTCGAGCGTCGGTCGGTCGGAGCGAATCTGATATGTCGCGAAAAGCGCACGCAGTTTCGTTACACAGCGTTCGATTTAGACAAACACGGGCACTTTTGCCTTGGTACGTAGTGCCTTAAACTTCCTATAGCAGCAGGTTTCTCTCCACATAGCACAGCATCGCTACGCTTGTACCGATCTCCACTTGGATTTAGCCGAACGAACGCGAAAGCTCGACTAGGCTCGGCCAGCGCTCGGAAATAACAATCGCAGAGCCCCCCCCCCCTCCCCCAGTGCTTCCGCAATCGGTCCACTCTCGGATGCGTATACCGTAGCAGTAGATAGTTCTTATTTTTATAGAGGTTTTACCGTGCTACCGTAAGTCTTAGAGGCCTGCGTATTATATAAATTTTTGTAGACGAGTTTTTCATAGGAAAAGTATCTAGTAATGTAAACAAAAGTAAAGCTGAACAAAATAATAATAATAATAATAATAACAACAGTAGTAACAATGGTAATAATAGTAATATTAATAATATTAACGACGATATTGACGTGACGAGTATAAGCAAACGAACGAGCATACGCGGAGAATAGGCGAGTGCCGGGATCGTTGATAGATAGACCAATCAGTCTCAAGTGCAAACGACGCGAGCATAGCGGCGGCGATTCGGATCTCAAGTGTAAGAATCTGGGCGCGGAGGCCGGTACGTTCAAAGCCAACAACGACAGTTGTAAGAACCAGTCAAAGATACAAAGAAGCTACACGGGCAGCGAGAACGCGCGATACCTACACAGTTTTCACCGACATATCCTACATTACATCCTCGAAGCTAGTTACAGCAGAGTGTGTACTGCGTTTTCACTAGCTATTGCGTATATACGTGTTATATAGGCTATTTTATGTGTAAACAATAATGCGTAAAATTATCATACTGTACGATGCATCATAGATACATATTCCGTATGACAATGGTACAATTAAGGCAAATGTGTACTGTACATAGCTCTGTCACTTACCCACTACCCATCCGCATAAGGATATATATACATATATATATATATATATATATATATATATATATATATATATATATATATATAATATAAATATATAAATACATTATTGTACGAAGAAGGAATATAATATTAACCGCCGCTGTACTACTAATCAGTTCAGATAACAGAGCTTATTCATTGATGAATAACTCTCGCGACAATTTCATCAACTTTAGTTTATTATTATTAATTATTATTATTATTATTATTACTATTATTATTACTATTATTAATTTGATTATTATTATGTTTGCAATTATTATGGTTACTATGAGTAACTACGATGAAAACTATACTAATGCTGAATACCCTTTGAATAGATTATTACGCTTGAACGATTAGCAAAAGTAGACCCTCACTTTTAGTATGTTATATTGTCTCGAGCGCAGAGTATAAACAGAATAACGGCAAAACTAAAATGTTGTCGCTCTTGAAATTGTACACTACCTCAATTTTGCGACCAAACAGAAAGAGAAAAAATTGAAAGAAAAGATTAGGAAAAGCTTTGTAAAGTCGAAAAGATGTAAAAGATAATATACTCTGCGCGTATCGAGGAAAAATAAGTATGCACGTCTACAGAGCAAAAGCAAACAAAGTGTGTTCTGCGTCGATATGTACGCGAGAGGAGAAATTGTGGAAGCAGGAGAAAAAAATGATGACTTTTAATGGTTAATTAGCGCATGGTTGGCCTGCAGCGACCTCACACTGTGATATATGTAAAGAATATTATTTATAAATTGTAAGATTCGTTTTCCTATTAAGCCAATGCGTTAAATAGCGATGGTAATTCTTTTAAGCTCGCCTCCTCGGTATCAGCTAGGAAGATTTTTGCGACGAAATGCTATGTGTGTCCATTGCGATTCCTTTCTTAACTTTGCAGCTTCCTCTCTTTTTTATGTTACTTTTACGTCTACATCTGTTGCTTGCAAAAATTATATTCTTTTGATAAAGATTATAACTGCTGTTTAAGTGGGCGTGCGTGCGTGCATATATGTGTGTTTGCGTTGCGTGCTTCGTATGGTTGGCTTGATATTACGTATCGTCTAACTACCTAGTCTAAATCTTTGACCTAATAAATTTTTTTCTCACCATTTTAGATTTAGCCTTTATTTTTTCCTACTTTAGTTGCAATATCGCAGTCGTTCACGCTCATCAATGTTTCTAGCTACGAGAAGTTATGTCGACGTCAATTATTTCTGACAATATTTTTATTTTTAGAGCCGAAAAGTTTATTGCACCGTATGCGTGTACGAACGACTGCTGTGAAGCGATAAGTTAGCGGCCCGCATAAGAAGTACGCGAGTCAGTGAGATGAGTGAGTGAGGGTGGAGGGAGGGAGCGAGCGAACAGGCGGAATAGATTTGTTCGTAGGATCGAATTCCCAACCAAGTGTGAAGCTCACTCTAGCATACGAGAAAACAAAATTATAAACAAATGACTGAAAGAATCGTGCGAGCATTGATAAGTTATTTTTACCGAAGAATGTACGCGAGGTTGACCAAGTTTAAATAATCACTTTGAAAGCCACAAGGAGCGAGGCTGCGAGTTCGATCCCTCCTTGCCGTATGATTTACGAATGTAAAAGCTGAATACAGCCTGTTCCTCAATCTCTGTCAACGATTAGAAGACTGCACGGGATCGGTGATGTTAGATTGTACAGGGTCGACGACAAAGGCCCCAATGATATTTTCAGTATATTATATTGTGATGTTAGATTAAGACGTGGAGCTAAGTCGGTGAGCTATGATGAGGTCGCTGTAGTCAGACTTTTCGCTATCGTGAGGGATCACTTTCACATTTTTTTAAGGCCATTCAAATAAAGTTAAATACGAGCGTTCCCCTATCGACAAATGGGCCTCCTTATTCTCCGAGAATCGAAGTGAACACCTTGAATTAGGCGCATATTACTGTCTCTGGATCATCGAGTGCGCAACTAAGGCATATGTACATTGTAATTGGCCAGCAAACTACAATGTAGTTTGCTCGTATCGCCATAAAACGACAAATTGAAATACACTTGTGTAATAAAGTAGATATATCCATAGACAAAACAGAAGCCTTGTTTTTTATTCTTATTGATGAAAACCTCGAAGTGAATAAGTGATATATATATATGTACATGTAATGTGTCCAAGCTCGCCTAATTCACATTTGGTAGTCTTCATTCGACGTCGATCTCGTTCGTTGCATCTTCCGCCGTGATCTGCTCGGACAAAGCTGCTACTTGTTGCGATGGTAGCGGATCGGGCGACGACAGATATGAATTGCTCGCCGAGTGCGATTTCAAACATTCGGGCCCTTTCTCCTCATAATCGTCGCGGCTCAGCAAGTACTCGGACAAATCACTGTTCAGCCCGAAGTCCTTAGCTCCATACCAAGCATCTAAGCTGACATTCTTTGCTACGCTCACTCGGAATTCCGATTGAAAAGGCCTTATCTCTCGAAGATCTCGTTGCAACCGCTGCAACAGTCCGGGAAAGGCGGCCGATCCTCCTGTCAGAAATACATTACTGACCAAACGATTTTGCTCCTCGGGCGTGTAACCCCTCAGCACAAACTCGATGGTTTCGACTAGTCCGGACTCCGACAAACCAATCATTGCTGGTTGAAATAGAATTTCAGGCACCCTTAATCGTTCAACGCCCACATGTAACTGATGCGTTTCTCCAGGTACCATCTGTACGTGACCACTGCTTGCATTCTCGAACTCGGGATCGTGGTGTCTCAACACGTTCTCTAGCTCCATTAATTTTTCTTGTTCTAATTCTGAATCGGAATCACCGCCTTCCTACGGATAAAAACAATGAGTATTCGTACAATCAAACATTTGCTGCTACGATTCTGCGTGACGCCGGAACGTTAGCAATTACCTTATTAATCGCTTTGTAAACATCCCAGTCTTCGTCTCTCATGCCAAAATCGTCGTCTCTTTTGTCTTTCCTAGCAAGCTGGCTAATTATTCTCATTCTTTCTTGAGCAGCTGCGGTTCTTCGTTTGGCCATATCTTGACGACGTTGTCGTTTTGCTGTTCTTTTCTCTATAATTTCCTGCCTGTAATAATAATTACATTGAGTTTTTGCAAATCAAGCTGCAGCCACCTCGTCCATAACTTATACCTTTTCCTTCTCACACCGGCTATCCATTCACCAAAATCTTGATGGTCTTTTGGTTGTAAATTTGGTTTTACTTTTGGCTTCTGCTCTTCCGTCACCAGAGTTTCCTCTTGAGAATTAGCGGCTACAATCTTCTGTCGAGTTCTTTCTACTTTGGCTTGTAAATGATCGATTGTCTTTATCAAATCGGCTTCGCTTGTAAGCGAATAAGTTTTCAGAGCTTCTTCAAATTCTTCTGTTTCTCCTTCATCCAGTAAGTCTTGAACAGCTAACAATTGATTTAATTGTTCTTCGTCTTCTGCTAACTAGAAACAGAATAATTTCAATTGAGAGGCGCTTTAACAGATATCGAAATGGCTGTTTTTGGCTTACTCTTTCTTCTCGTTTCCTTGCATTAATTTCCATTAACCGCCTAGCAAGCTCGCGTTTCCTTTCCTTTTGTTGTTCTAATGTAAGACCCGGTGTAGTTGCTGGAGCGACATACGGTAGTTGCACTCTAAGTACGTTACTATCGTAATACTCTGCATCAGCCCACATTAGGATTTCCTTCTGATACTGCAGTGCTACCATTGAATGATCATGAATGAGCTCCTATAAAGTCAACGCCAATGAATGTGAGTATTTTGATTTTGTTGGTGTACAATTTGGCTCTAAATGAGAATTATTAAAACAGTAGGTACCTCGGATCGACTTGGAGTAATGGCATTAACATGGGCAGGATACTTCAATTGCAATAGCCTGTGCATATAGGATGTCATATGATAGCCACCCAAATTTATTCTCCTGGAATTTGATGTATCTGCCCTTCCACCAAGTACAGGAATAATGAGTGTTGCTTGATATCCTATACTCACAATTAATCCATCTGAAGGACAGTTGTTGTGTAGATAAGAAAATAAACAGTCAACTCCATATGCGATTGAAGGAACATTGTAACATTCAAACAGTAATTCTGTCATCACTAAAAACAGTAACATTGATATATTTGTTTAGTTGTGAATCATTTGCTATATCATAGAAAAACCACGTTGGTTTTTATTGTTCACTGGTCAATTGAATAGGCAAAACAACGATAGCTATTTCATTATTTTTGTTTATTTTTTATTTAATGGCCATACTAACTTTCTCAGGCTTTATTCACAAGCTAAGGAAATCAATAAGCAATTATGTTTGATACTTGTCATTGGCTTCGACATAGATCATGTTATTATTTATAAATATTTATATCTGTGATATCACTTAAGTTGACAAATTAATAATTTTATATCTATGAATGAAGTTTTAATGTAATAAAATCTTTAAAATATTTCATTGTACTTACAATTTCTAGAGTAGTTAGGATTTAAGAATGTTTCAGTCAATATGATAGGATGATTGACAGATCCTTCAGTATCGATACCCATGTGAGTGAACGTATAGTCGAATATTTGTTCTTGAGCTTCAAAATGAGTTACAACATTTTTATCGAATTGTGTTTTCAATTGAAATCTGACTGCTTCAATATTGACAATATCGTTTCCAACAAGGATATCACCATCTTTTTTGCCTCTTTCTTTTCGAGGCTTTGCAATTAGATTCTTGAATATAAGTTGTGGCTCTTTTGTAGTTGCCCAACCCACTCTGCAATTATAGGAACCTAAAAATACAGAGTTATTGTATTTATGAATTAAATTTTGCAAGATAGTGTTGTTTTCATTTATTTAGGGGTTATATATTCACCGTTGTCAATGACAAGTGGAAGTGACTCATTTTTCACGTTGTCGGGGTACAGATGAACAATATCTGGAACAGCTTTGACGTCTTTTAATTCTAAAATCTCCATAATCATATGAGCTCTGGTGTATTAACGCATCATTGTCATTTCAATTGAGATTGTCGGTCGAGGAAGGTAAGAAAATATTGACTCTGACGCCAAATCTAAAATCGAATTATCGGGTGAGTTCAGTCAATTCAGAGTTAACAAAGTAAGTGACATCTCTGGACGTGTTGATGTATTTTTTATTCTCAATGTCAGTATTGTTATATTAGTACACGATGTACTACAAAAGCTTTGTTTGCAATTATTACATGGAGTAAGCTTTCTAGTTATTCTAATTATTCTATAATTGTCGTTCTATAGTAGTAAAACTAATTTTTACTTTAATATCGCACAAGACGGCAGATGATCCTGTATGCTGGACTTTTGACCGACGAAGACCAATAAACTAACTGTTTTACCATGCCGGATAATTCGGATACTGTAGAGCGCTCAGCGCAGTCGCGACTGTAGTGTTTTTCAAGGTCCTCAGCAGATGTCTACATTGCACAGATGTGGCCTGTCTGCCGCCACAACTATAAAATATTTGCACTTGCCTAGATGAGATTATAAATGGACACTTTTAAAAGAATGTTGGGTAGTCGTATAGATTATGCGTGGTATTATTGTTATTATTTTATTTGTATTATTATATTTATGAACAAGAGCCGCTGTTATACTAAAGAAATGTGTAAAATTAATTATTAATTCTATGAGCAGTTGTAATATTAAAGTCCTACTTGTTCTTGTAGTAATTTTGCACGATTAATCAATTCGGCAATATCTTTACCCCTGCAAAGAACAAAAGTGTTGTTGTTTAATAAGACTTATGTAAACGGTCGTAACGGATGATTCGAGCTTACATTTGGTCTAGATTCGTTGTTATGGCATCAATTTGGGCAGGTTTGAGACAAATTTTATTGTATTCGGCAGTTTTATCGAGCTGAGTAAACAGAGTCTGATTGGCAGCTTTCTTCTTTTTCAACTGTTCCAAACGAACGTGCAGCTCTTTAACCTTTTCCGACATAGATTTAATTTGTTCTGCTTCTGCTCGCTCGATCGGATTCATATTTGGCTCTTTCAAGTAGACCAATCTGAGAACCTCCTCGGCCCTGCACATTGAAAGTGGAGCTAGGTTGAAGTGATGACTAGCGACGACAAGAGAACAAGTGCCCTACCTGCGCGCAAGCTCCTCCTGTTTGTCTTTGATGTCCTCATATCTTTCGGCCAGTGTTTCAACCTTCTGCTGCAAGCGTTTCTTCATGTCGCTGAGGTGCTCGAGTTCGGCTAATTGATGAGCCTTGGATGCCTTCAGAGTGCGCACCTGTTTACGAAACTCTTCTCGAACTTGGTCGTGGTGCAGGAAGTGTTGCTTCCGGAAGACAGTGGTCGCTCGATAGAGTAGCTGCAGGAGCACAAACAGAGGGTTAACGAGACGGAAGAGGAAGAGGAGGAGGAAGAGGAGGAGGAGGAGGGAGGCGGCCGCGCCTTCTTACCTCGAGGCACTCGCGAGACGTGAGATTTTTTCGTAGACCGATAGCGGTGATCGGCTGCGAGGTATCCCTCATGAGCAGCTGTTTGATGTGGCCGTCGAACGACTCCTTGAACACCTGCGAAAGAAGCAGTGACAGGGCACAAGCGGAAAAGCGAACCGCGCTTACTGACTTTCTTGCTGGGACTGGGGGCAAGGGTGGCCGCCTGGAGGCTGGGGATGTAGTAAGAGTCGATAACGGAGATGTCGATGGCCAGACCGGTGTGGAGCAGCGCCACGAGGATGCAAGGCTCCTGCAGAAGGCCGAATCCCAGGACGGGCGTGGCCTCCTCCCTACCGGTGTACTTGGTGCGCGTACTCAGCAGGTACTGAGCGCTCGACTGTCTCACGAGGTTGGCCAGCTGAAGCTGGACGGTCGCTGAAAGCGCACGAGCAGAGCTGCAGACGGAAAGCGACCGCGGGGACGGAGAGGCGCGCTGGCCGGCCTACCTTCGCTCGCGGCGACGTACTGCTCGAGCTGGCTGACCATCGGCACGTTCACCAGGTGGATGCCGGCGTTGTGGGAGCAGAAGTATCTGCAAGAAGCAAGACGCAAGACGGGAAGAGCGACCGAGCGGCGGGCAGAGCGACGGCGGCTCGAGCGCGACGTCTCACCTGGAGCGGTTCTCCGGGTCGGCGTGCAGGTGGATGGGGCAGCTGTACTTCTTGTCGCTGTCGGTGTAGAACAGGCCGAGCTCCAGCTCGACGCACTCGTACACGTAGAGGGCCTCCTCGGGCGTGTGCAGGCTGTAGGTCGAGCCGTACTGGGACCAGCTCTGAAACACCCAGAGACGTTGGGCCTAGGATCGACGGCGCCGCCCGTTCCGCTCACCTTCCTCTCGTCGTCGTCGTCCTCCGAGCCCTCGCTGAGCAGCAGCGCGTGGTAGATCTTGCCCGCGGACGAGGCGATGGCCACGAGCGGAGGCGTGGTCTGCAGGCACATGATCGAGCACGAGTCCAGGCCGTAGTTGTCGACGGCCGGCGGGTACATGGACAGCGTGCCGAAGACCACCGGCTTGTTGTGGCTGCAACGAGAGCGGAGACTGAGCGGAGGCCGGCTCGGGCCGAGCCGGGGGCGGCCGCGCGACTCACTCGATGAGCACGTTGCCACGGACGATGAGCACGTCGCCGCTGCCGCGCAGCACCAGGATGGGCCACTCGATCTGCCGCCAGGTGAGCTTGTCGAGCTGCAAAGTCAAGGGCTGTAGGCGCGCGCGCGCGCGCACGGCGCTGGAGACACAGCGAGGCGGCGGAGACTCACGTCGAGGGCGCGCTGCTCCTGGCTCGGCTTGGCGCTGGGACTGGCGAAGTCGAAGTCGACGGCCGCGTCGCCGAGGATCGACAGGCCGGGCAGCTTGGCGGGCGAGTGCAGGCTGGGCCCCACCTTCCAGGTCCTGGTCAGCCTGACCGCCTGGCCGATCTCGCACTCGTACAGCCTGCGGCAGGGAAGTCGAGCGTGAGCGTCGGTCCGAGCGGGAGCGGCAGCCGCGCCGCGGCTCACTCACTGGAACACGTTGTCGGAGGCCAGCAGCAGCAGGTGCGAGTCCGTGCTGGAGCCCGGGTGCCAGCGGACCTGGCGCACCTCCGTCCGCGACAGCTGCGAGTAGCAGTCGTCCAGGTTGTGGCTCCTGCGGGCAGACCAATTGAGCGAGGACTCGGGCGAGGACTCGGGCGTGGCCGGGCTCGCTCGTGAGCGCGCGGCGATAGTTTTAATCCGCGCGCGGCGCGCTCTGATATCATAATCCGAGTAATCGCCGTTACTGGCGCCGTTTGGCTAATCCGCCGGCGGACTTTGGTGTTGTTGAAGGGCTCGTTGAAGATCGCGCCGCGAATGCAAAACGAGCGGGAGCCGCGCTAATGATCAATGGAGCGGAGCTGCTCGCGCGCGACGTAATCCAGTCGCGATAAATCGCCGGGCGAGCGGCAAAAAGTGGCTGCGCGCGTTGCCGCGCGTGAGTAATCCCGCAAGTCGAGCTCCCGAAAACTTTGCCACTTGCCGGCGCGAAATATGTTTATTAATCGCGGAGCGCGCGCCGGAGCGGAGTCGGCAGCGGCTATGTAAATTTCTGGATGCTTATTAGCCGAGCAGCCGAGCAGCCGAGCGCCGCCCGCCCAATTAAGCGGCGCAGCTTCTTTACGAGAGAGACAGGGGCTGCCGCGACGATAAGGAGCGGGCGCGATACTCACAGGCAGGAGACGGTCTGCTTGCCGCCCTGGAACTGGGCCTTCTTGCCCCAGCGCTTGGGCAGCTGCAGCACCACCACGCCCAGGCTGCCCCACAGCACCAGCTGCGTGGCCGTCTCGTTGATCAGCAGCTGGCTCACCTCGAAGATCGGCGGATCGGTCGGCTGCAGGCTCTGCAACACAGCCAGCACAGCTCGCGTCAGCGCGCTCTCGGCTGCCGGATATTTAAAGGGGCCGACGCGGCGCAGGCGGCATTAGCATTAGCAGCCGAGCTGCCGCGAGTGCCCGACAGATAGACATCGTCTTCAGCCACTTGTCAACGCCCGCCTGCTCCTTTTTAAGTATCCTCCCCTTCATTTTTAATGTCCGCCGCCGAGATGCCACTTTGTCACTTTGTTTTTCTCGCCCTCGCCCCTCCGCTCCGTTTCACGGCTCGCTAATGTTTCCTTTTCAGTCGAGTCGCTTGCTCGCCCCCACCCATTCCGCCGACAGCATCATCGGGGATTCACAAACGAGCCGGCTCGCTGCGCCCGACCCCTTATTATTATTATTCGCGCTCGCATCAAAATCTAGCCGCCTGGCTGCGGGTGTTCCGCTCGACGCTCGTCACACACCTGATCACCGCGATCGTTGCAAGCTTCGTCCTTCCCAGTCAGCTGATCGCCAATGGCGGAGAGCACTCGATTCCCTTGCTGCTTGTTTGGACCGTTCCATTATCGTCCTGCTTGTGTCATGCCAGTGCGCCAGCGACATGAACGCGCAAACCACGAGCTGTTACATTTACAGCGACGACAAATCGATGCCACCCGTCTTTTTGCCGGATAGACAACCGGTCTTCGTCGGCAGAAACGTCGACACCAAAATCACCGATCCGCACTGCTCGCGCAAGCAAGGTTAGTCGCGCGCTCCTTAACCTTCGGCCTCTAGCGTGCAACGCTAATATTTTGACAACACTATCATTTAAATTCGACTGCTGCCTATTTTCAGTACGTTTATGTGCTAGCTACAAGGATCACAAAGTATTTGTTGAGCAGCTGGGATCTCGCGCGTCTGGACTGAATGGTTACAAGACTGAAAAGGGAGTGAAAGTCGTTGCTCAACACGGAGATCGCTTGGAAATTCTGTATGGTAGGCACCCGTATCAAATAGAATTCAATCCCCCCCCATTAGCTAATATCAAACGTGAAGGCACTGCCAAGAGACTAGTTTCACAAGAGTCAGAGGATGAAGATGACAACGAACCTCAGCGATCAAAGAAATTTAAATTAACGAGTACTGCCATGGGGACAGAAGAGGATCAATTGTTCAGTGGACAGCAAACAAGCACGGAACACAGTTCCAGTGATACTAATAATGAACCAGGCAGTCCAAGCGAATATGGTGAATGGGAATACTTTGACAACAAAACTTTGTATGTTTACACAAGCAATGGCTGCCAAGGGAGGTCCAAAGTGAGCACGTCATATCTATTGCTTACTTTGCTATCAATTAGCAGAACAATCATCTTTTCCTCCTACAGATTGCTGCATACGACATGGATAAAACTCTCATTAAAACAATCTCTGGCTTGCAATTTCCTAAAGATTGCAATGATTGGCAATTGCTCTATCCCGATGTACCTGCAAAAATTAAGGAGTTCTACAAGGATGGATATAAAATTGTAATAATGTCTAATCAAGCTAGTTTGGGTACTGGAAAGATCAGAGTCAAAGATTTCAAATTAAAAATAGAAAGGCTAGTGAAAAAAATTGGAGTGCCTATGCAGGTTTGCTTCTGTATTTTGATCAAGCCTAACGCTTAATCCTTTATTATGCGTCTATATGCAAATAAGTCAATTTATTCAGGTTTATCTTGCTGTGGGTGAAAGTATTTATAGAAAACCACGTACAGGGATGTGGCAATTTCTGGTTGACAAGGTACATATAGAGACAAGATCTTTGAGATATAACGTTTACTCTAAAAATAATGATTCTGAACGAAATTGTAGAAAAATGATGGAATACAAGTAGACAAGGAAAATTCCTTTTATGTTGGGGATGCTGCTGGCCGGCCAGCCAATGCATCAAGAAAAAAGAAAGATCATTCTTTGGCCGATCGATTACTAGCATTGAATCTTGGTTTAAATTTTCAAACACCAGAAGAGCATTTTCTTGGTCAGAAAGAAGCATCGTACAATGCTCCAGCATTCGATCCCAAGGAGGCTAGCAAAAACACCGTTCTTTGTGAGCCAAGTCAGACCAAGCTCACATCCGATGAGCAGGAGGTTAGCAGTAAAGTGCAAAAAGGAAGTAAGTATGCGCAAGGGTAAACGTGATGGTAAACTTTTCAGTTGATCCTTATGGTCGGTTGTCCTGGCTCTGGGAAGTCTCACTTTGCCAAAACTCATCTGAGGAATTATTGCTACGTGAATAGAGACACACTTGGCAATTGGCAGAAGTGTGTGTCGAAAACTGACGAAGCCTTGAGTCAAGGGAAAAGCGTAGTCGTCGACAATACAAATCCAGACAAAACCACGAGGCAGAGGTACATCGAGATTGCAAAGAAGCGTGGCGTGCCTGTGAGATGTTTCGCGATGGCTCTAGACAAGGAGCACGTAAGGCACAACAACATGGTAAGCGAGAAGTTTGATTGTGCAATGGAGGACTGTTAAGTACCACTGAAACGATTGTTTGACAGTTTCGCATATTGACCGACCCGACGCATCAGGCCATCAGCGACATGATCATCAATAGCTACATGTAAGTTTCTACGCAGGCAGCGTGCGTTAAGAGAAGCGTGGCTTGAGCGGTAGAAGGGTGTTGGATGGGAATTGTTGCCGGGGAGGTGCAGGCTTGGCTTGATATTTGTCGTTTATTGCAAGTAGGCAGCGTTTCTGAGCATTGTTTGTTACTAGCGACACGAAATCCCAGTTGGCCCGGCGCTGCATAAGATTCGTGAAGCTGCTGCTTTTGTTGTGTCTTCGTTTCTACATTCGCTTCTCCATCCGTTTCTCCAAAACTCTCCCCACATCTTACAGAAAGAACTTCAAGCCACCGAGCGAGGACGAAGGCTTCTCCGAGATCGTCAAGATCAAGTTTGTGCCGTTTTTCAAGTCGGACGAGGACAGGCGTCTTTACGAGATGTACCTTCTGGGCTGAGAAGCGAAGCGTGCTTAGCATCAAGTGGCGGAGAGCAGGCGGCGGGAGAGAGGAGGCAAGGGAGCCCCTTGGCTTTTAGCGCCGATCCTCTCGGTCCGTCGCAGAGTTGCGCAAAGCATGGTGTTTGTCGTGCACCTAATGTATCGCGAGCGCTGAATGCTCCAGCGAGATGTAATGATAATAATAAATTAATTGAAACTGCACGTGCGAGGATTGATTGGCGTCGAGCCGCAAAACCTGACTGTCGGGGGGAGGTGCGAGCACGATAACGGACGACGAGCGAGGAGAGCGAGGGGCGAGTCGGTGCTCGCGGAGAAAGGGGGAACGGGCAGGAAAGATGTCGGCGGCGCGGCGCATCGGGGAGAGAGCGCCAGATAAGCGGCACTTTTACGTGCTCGTTACTTATCCGCGAGCGGCTGGGCGAGCTCGGGGCGCTGAGAGAGGTGACGGTGGCGGAAAGGAGCGCCGCTTTATCGGCGCGACGCGAGCAGGTCAATGACAATCGGCAGATATTAGGAGCGGGCGGCGGCGGCGGCGGTGGCGGTGGCGGTGGCGGTGGCGGTGGCGGTGGCGGCGGACGGGGACCCGAGCGCGCGGAAGCAACTGGCATTCTATGATAATGAAGCGGCGGGCTTTACGAGCTGCGCGGACGCGGCAGCGCTCGCTCGGTCGCACTCTCCGGTTATTACTTTATTAAGCCGTATAAGGCGCGGTCGGCACGAGCGGCCAGGTCGCGCTCTGCCCGTCGACTCGGCGCGGCGACGAGCTATGCCGGCAGCACGTATCCGAGAATTCAAATGGGGCCGGCATAAAATGCGGCCGGACAATCGTCCTCGGCTCGTAAAGCACTTTATTAAAATTCTATATCCCTTGCGCGGCCGGCGGTGTAAACAAGTCGGCCGGCGCTGGCGCTCGGCGCTGCCCGCCAGAGCAATCGATAAGCGCGCGCTGTCCGGTGACGGCTTTGCGTTCCGGCGAGGATTAGAGCACATTAGCTGGGAGCGCGCCGCGAAAAAGAGCCACATTAGTCCGCGCGCCCGGCTCGGCTTTCAAAGCCGGGCTCTCCCTTCAATTGGCCGGCGCAGCCTCATTATCGAGCGTCGCCGGCGTCGAGGCCGGCGGCAGGCGCGGAAGCGACGCCTCATTAATGAGCCTCGTACGCGCGACAGCGCGCCGCTGACATATTAAAGACGCGCAGGCTGAGCCGAAGCACTTGGGCGCGCGAGCCGGCCGGGGCGACGGTGTCCCCTTGCCGTCAGCTCGGCGAGGCCTCGCGCGCGCGCGCCCGCCTTATTAGTTTGCAACTTATGCCCGCGCCACGGAGCCTTTAAAGTTGCGGCTGCAGAGCCGAGACGTGCCCGGCTGCTGAAACCGTAGACCCCGGCAGGCACGATTTATCGATAGTGCGCGCGCGATAGCGCCAGCTCCATTTTTCAGGGCGCGCCGGGCGCGCGATCGTTAGTCGCCAGGCGAACCGGACGCGCGCGCTGTCAATGCGCTCGTCAAGGCGTCGGGCCTCGGGTCCGAGTCGCAGCTATCGGCTCTAATTTATAGAGCGGGCTTACGGCCGCTCCGCGTCTACGTCGCCGGGCATTATTTAAATTAAACGGGGATAAACGTCGAGGACGACGGGAGCGCTATGCAAATTATTATCGCGCCCGATTTAAATGCATATTTGGGCAACTATAGATCATGTTGTTATTGCCGGCAGTACCGCCGAGACGGGGGTATTGGGAGGAGCGGGGCTAATTAAAAGTGTGTGCCGCAGATTATTAGATAAAGGCATCGCCGGCAATCTGCAAGGAGAGAAGGGCATGGCTTTGAATTTATGAAAAAGCTCGCTCGGCGGCGGCGCCGGCGGCAGCGGCGGCGGCGACGGCGGCGGCGTTTTAATTCCCTTAGCGGCGTTATCGCGGAGAAGCCCGAAAGATACATGTAAGCCGCCTCGCACTCACATTCGCTGCGCACTCTTTCTCCGTCTCTGGACGCTTATGAATATTAATTTCTGGCGGTAGCCGGGCAGCGCCGGACAAGAACAAATTACACCTTTCCTTTCCGTTCCTTCGCCTGGCCAGTGGCCCCGCGCACGCACTGCCGCGGCCGCGCCCGACGCCCCATTCGGCCAGACCCAGCTACTTTTCTTCCAGCGGGCTTTTTCCTGCGCCCGAAGCGCGCCCCCGGCTAAATGAAGAGACGCTTCTTCTTCTTTCGAAAGAGGCCAATTAAAATCCGCGCTCGTCGCGCACGTCCGCGCGGCCAGACTGCATACATTCGGGGGGCCAGCGGGGCGGTTCCCGCCGCGCGCCCGGCTTACTTTCATAACCGAGCGCATGTAATGGCAACGGTTAAAACTGCGCGCCGCGAATGCCCTATCTCAGCGGCTCCAAGGGCGGATCTTATTATCAAACTAAATCTCATCCGCGAGCAGCCAGTGCCCGCCCCCTCTACTAAATCTCGACCCCCGGACCGCGCTCCCACTTGTACTTACAGTACCTGCCGCGCGTATTTCGCCTCGAGCCACATTTATGTCTCGCCGCCCGGCGGCCCCTCGGCCGACGCTCGCGGGTGCGCCGAGCCCCGGGCTCCGGCGTCCGAGCCGCCGCAATCGAAGCCGCGACCGGGCGATCGAGCCGCCCGGCGCTCGGAGCGCGGCGCGGCGTCGGCGCGCAGGAATGCCGGCCCGCAGCCTCGCCCGGGGACGACGGGGATGGCATTCCGGCTCGCTCGGGCGCGCCGCGAGACGAGCGCCGTCTCGGGTAATTGTATCGTAGATCCTCGGCGTCGGCTGCGTGGGCCGCATGATTAAAACTTGATTGCGTTAGCGCGCGCCATTCTTATGCGCCGCCAGTGCCAGCCGCTCCGGCGAGGCTCGGGCTCGAGGCGCGGCCCTCGCCCGCCGCCGCCGCTCGCACCGGTCCGGCGGACGCTCGGCGAACGCTCGGCGGACGCCCGGCGGACGCTCGGCCGCCGATACGCCTATATCGCGGCCGAGATCACCTGTTGCGCCGGCGGAACGACGCTCGGCCCGAAGCGCAGACGGATCGGCGCCCGAGGCCGCGGTCGACCTCCCGGCGCTCCGCGTCGCGCACCGTCGGCGCGGATCGCGAGCCGCCGCCCGCCCGCTGTTTATCGAGAGATTCGGAAGCAGACCACGAACTCGGGATAGACGCGCTCCGAGCCTCGCTTAATTTTAACCAAATTCCTGCGGCTCTTCGGGCTGTTTAACCGAATAAGCTAATTGTGGCCTATTGGCAAGGAGCGACTAAGTCCCGCAGCGCGCAGAAAGAAAGAGAGAGCGCGCGCGAGTCGTTAGCGACTGGCGGCACGAGGGCGGAATGACAATCAGTTAGCTCGCCGCTCGGCGAAAGCTCGCTCTTGCTCGCGCGACTCGCACCCTCCTCCCGACGGGAATTCGTCTTATCTCCGTGCCCGACGACGACGAGTCGCCCCGAGCGCGAGATGGCCGAGCGGCACGGAACAGCCATCCGATAAATAGGCAGACGCTCGCGGGACGAGCGGCCGAGATCGTTAGCCGCGCGGGTGGGCCAGCGGGAGCCTCGGCCGGCGATCAGCCAGACCGCGGAAAGTCGTCGCGCCGCGGGCAAAATCGATGGCCGAGGGGCTGCGAGTGGCGCGGGCGCATTGTGCGGCATTGTTTCGCCCGCCGGCGAAAAAGGAGTATGGCGCGCCGAACGAGGGTCCTCCTCCTATTCCTCGAGAGATTAATTGCCATTAATAACCTCGTGCGCGACTCGCCCTCGCTCTCGTCGCGTCGTCGTGCTCGTGGCGCTCTACTTGCGCCACTCAACAATAAGGCCGACGACTTTGCCGGCCCTTCTCGCCCGAGCCGGCGCTGCCTGCCGACACTTCAGCCCGCTCCGCACTCGACTCGACTCGACTCGACTCGTTCTTTCACTTGCGCCTCCTCGACCAGCCACGCCTGTGCCCTCGGCGTCCTTTTTCGCCTCCGACTCGGGCTCTCGTTCGCGCCTGTTCGCCCTCGCCGAAGGAAACCCAATGCCGTTGCCGCGGACCACCGGTCGTTTTCAATTCCTGCTTCGCGTGTCTCCGCTCCCTCCCGTGCTCGCTGGCCGATCGGCTGCTCGCCCCTTGCCGCGACACCTCGTGCGGGCCGTGTCACCTTCCACTCGAACGCATTCGCTCGTACTCGTGACCCCTCGGCTTGCTGCGAGCCTCCATCGCAAAAACCACTTGTTTCTTAGTTACTGCGTAGCATTTCACGGATGATTCTGTCATTTGAAACCCCATTCAGAGAATCCTGTATTGTGCTATTGTTCAAATAAGCATCGGTAGAACGCCTGTAGATTAAATTGCCTTTTTTTATTTCAATGAGTTCGTATTAAAAACATATCTTGTACGGAAAGATCGATAAACAATAGTGTATAATTATGTCAAAGCATAATATTACTAACAGGCTCCCTTCCTCCATATTTATCTTTTCTTGAATAATTTACTAACAAAAACTCTAGTTAGTACTCGAAAAAAATATCACCGATTAACTGACGCGTTTAGATTTTATAATACGCCTGCAGCGATATCGACGGCTACGATAAGACTACGATAAAGACGCTTGTTTGTTACGGAGTAACACTTATTTGTTCGTGTAGGGACATCTGTATTCAATCTGAATTTTTATTCTTCACAGAAAATTGCACGCAACGCTCCGTAATTGATTCGTTTTGATTTACGTATGCAAACAGACCGATAGTACTCATTTGGAGCATCAAACACTTTTCTTTACAAATTTTCTCCAGCTTACGTTATACAAAACAGTGTGAATATCTTTGATATTTCGTATTTTTAAATAAATTTTAGATCGTTGGACCCGGTATAGAACTAATATGTGCAATATACTATAATTTTTTTTTTGCAAGTGAATTTGTTCAAAGCTAATTGGATAGCTTAAACAGGTAGCCCTTAAATGAGCTTCCCACAATCGATTTAATGAATCTTAGTCCGGGTCGTCGAACTTTAAAATGACCCCTGATTTTTCAGGATTTCAACGAAAGTTCATTCAGTATAGGACTATCCGGAAAAGGTGTTAATATAATATTGATATTTTCGCATTTCTATTACTATAAGTTCATGAATACGATATACCGGTAGAGCTGCAGTTATAAATAAATATCAATCTTGAAAAGAAAAGAAAAATCAAACATTATTAATTTGATAACTG